AATAAAGAGTAGTGGAAGCAAGACAGTAGTGAGACCAGCTATGCTGTATGGGTTAGAGACTGTAGCAGTGAGGAAAAGACAAAAGGCAGAGATGGAGGTAGCAGAGATGAGGATGTTGAGGTTCTCTTTAGGAGTGACCAGGATGGACAGGATTAGGAATGAGCACATCAGAGGGACAGCCCAGGTCGGCTGTTTTGGGGACAAGGTCAGAGAGGCAAGACTGAAATGGTTTGGACATGTACAGAGGAGGGATAGTGGTTATATTGGTAGAAGGATGTTGGAGATGGAGCTGCCAGGCAAGAGGTCAAGAGGAAGGCCAAAGAGGAGATATACGTATGTGCTAAAAGAGGACATGAAGTTAACTGGGGTGAGAGTAGAGGATGCCGAGGATAGAGTTAGGTGGAAACAGATGATTTGCTGTGGCAACCTCTAACAGGAACAGGCAAAAGAAGAAGAAGATTGTCAGATAGACATCTATTGTAATGGAATTGTTTCCCACTTAGTGTATAATCCATTAATCTAAATTCAAAAGTTATTAGAAAATGGTCAGACAGAAGAGGGTTTTGGGAAAAAACTATTAAGTGATTAATTTCAATGCCATACGTCAGAACAAGATCAAGGGTGTGATTAAAACAGTTAATGTGTTTATTTACAGTTTGAGAAAAGCCAACTGAGTTTAATAATGAACAGAATGCATTGTTGAGGCTGTCATTGTCGGCATCTACATGAATATGAAAGTCACCCATTATGATTATTTTATCTGTACTAAGCACTAAATCAGACAGAAAGTCTGAGAATTCACTTAAAAACTCTGAATAAGGAGCAGGTGGACGGTATACAATAACAAACAGAACAGGCTTTTGAGTTTTCCAGTTTTGGTGTGAGAGACTCAGGGTGAGACTCAGATGAGTTATAACTATGTTTAGGTCCAGGGTTGATTAATAGGCTTGAGTCAAAGATCGCTGCCACGCCACCACCTCGGCCTGTGTGTTGAGGGATGCAACAGTTACTGTGACCAGGTGGGGTGGATTCTTTTAGACTGACATGTTCTTTAGGTTTCAGTGAGACGCAATAATTCAATGTGATGTTAACTTATCAAATCATTAACAGATTTGGATGAAAGAGATCAGATATTTAATAGTCCACATTTGATTGTCCTGTTATTTTGATCTATGAGAGAAGTATTCTTACATTTAATTAGGTTCTTATGAATAACTCCTCTTGAGTTGATTTTTGATTTATATAATTTAGGCAGTCGGCAGGGCAGACACAGTCACTATGGGGTATTGGGAGTTCTGGGTGGGTAGCAGCTGCAAAGAGACATGTGTAAGACTGCGACTCTGAGCCCTGGACTCAACTGTGGGTTGTCATAATTCAGGTTGTAAAATAAATTTGTCCAGATTTCTAGATAAGAGAGCCGCACCACCCAAAGTGGGATGGATGCCGTCTCTGCTAATCAGACCAGGTTTTCCCCAAAATATTTTCCAGTTTCTATGAAGCCCACATTGTTTTCTGGGCACCACCTGTCATCACTGGTTAGACTGGGCAGGGGTCCAGAGAAAACTACAGAGTCTGACATTGTTTTAGTGAAGTTACACTACACACCGACTCAACATTAATTTTAGTGACCTCTGTCTGGCGAAGGAGCTATTCTCGTTACGGGATTGTCTGTTTATGTTTCACTATTCATCTGGTCAATAAAATGTTACAAAATGGTGAAGTACACAGATTTTAGCAGTTTAATACTTAAATATATTCGGTTCACAGTGATACGAGACAAATCGTCATATTTGTGAAGTCAAAATCAGAGAATGAATTTCATTTTTCTTTATAAAGTTCTTAAATATTACACAGATTTTCAGAACTGTTGTCTATTTTTGTTGATTGACTAATTTATCAGTCAAGGAATTCAGCTTAATCAAGACTCAGACATATGAGAAGTAATATGGTCGTATGTTTTTATGTGGACAGGGTTTGAGCAGTGGTTCATCATCTGTGACTCATGTCCACTGACTGTATGAGACAGATGGGCTAAGAGCAGCACAAGTGAGCCATTGTAATTTGAGCGCCCCTGGTGGCTGGTTGCAGTATAGGTCATAAATCCCACCTCCTCCATGTTAGTGGATGGCACATGAACCAAAACTCAAAGTACAAATCACCTCCCAGAGGTCACTTCTGTGATTTTTGGTAGATTTTTGGTAGGTATCAAAGTGTCCTTTGACCCCCCAAGTTTCCCGTGATGGCAGCGCGCATGCACGCCGTGGCCCGGGACCCTTCGGCTCCAAACAAAAATTTCTTTGCACGTGAAAGGAGTGTATGTTAATTCCCTTTCTTCCGGTTCTTCTATACCAGGAACTCAGAGAGACGAGATGGTCCAAGTATCTTAAAAATCATGCTGGTTTATTCAAAGGATCACAGGTAAAATTAACATTACACGCTCAGGTATCTTGCACCTCCAATACTGCACGCAGGCAGATGAAGAATGAAAAGACCCCGAACCCAACAGGCCTGTACATTATATCTGGTTTGGGCTAACCCCATTCTACACAGGCACGTCAAACCGTGGCGTCACCTGATATGCCAGCTTTACAGCTGACCGTAGCAGTAGTCAAAACATGGAGAAAATCAATGTGTGTGAGTGTTGATTAAGTGGTGTGTATCTAAGAACATACAGGACATTCAGGGACATGTCCGGACATTAAGCCTAGGAAGATATTATGATTAAGATTACGGCTAAACATATCATAATAATAATAATAATCATCCTGCCTGCTGACAATCAAACTTTTCTATCTAGTTATCCTT